CCCCAGCCACAGAGACAGACACACAAACAGGCAATGAAATCATGACAGAGGGGGAAGCCTTGTCCCACGGGGTCGCCCAGGTTTATAGCTCTCATTTTCTTCCTCGCCAGAAGAATGGAACTCTCCAAGGTCCTGTCTTGGGTTCCCCACTCCCGCTGTGTGGGCCCTGCCAGACACCAACCAGGGAGGGTCATCAGTGGTACTGGGCCCAGACACAGTCGTGGGAAGAACGCAGCTGAGTGGGGAACTAAAACCCAGGTTTCTGGCTGGAGGACTGGAAGGGAGGCTCCAGGGATCTGGAAAGTGTCATGTGGATCGGGGAGAAGAGGGAGTTCAGACACTAATCCCATAAACTTGTGTATGAATTCCAGGCCTCGCCTCTGAGCTGTGTGCGCCTGACTCTGATCCTAAACAGCTGGTCCAGGCTTTGAGAGCTGAGCCACAGTACAGGCCACACACAAGCCCCAGACTGGCCACAGGGTAGCACACACTGGGAACTGTCCCTTAAAGCACTAAAAACACTTTGAAATTTAAACTAACATTGGCACAGCCCACAGAAGGCAGCTCAGAACTTGCAGCATAAACCTAACTTTTAAAAAAAAATCTGCTAACAATAATAAAAACCCACATACTTCTTAGGATTTAAACAAGACCCTAAATATCTAGGATAAAATCCAAATTTGTTCGGCATGTGAACAACGAGGAAAATCTTAATTCACAAGAGAAAAGAAAAGCAGCAGATGTTAACCCCGGGATGATACAGATGTTGGATCACCAAAGACTCTATAGCAGGTAATATAACCATGCTTCAAGAAGTTAGGGTAAACACTCTTGAAATAAGTGGAAAGGTAGATGGTCTCAGAAAATAAATAGAAAATATGGAGAAGATCCAAACAGAAATTTTAGAACTGAAAAAATATAATAACTGAATTAAAAATTCACTGGATGAGCTCAATAGCAAAGTGAAGATGACAGAGTGAATGAACTTGTGGGATCAATAGTTATTTTATTTGAACAACAGACAAAATATTATTAAAAAAATGAACACATTCAGGAATCTGTGGGACAATACCAAAAGTTTAATATCTGTGTTAACAAATTTTTAAAACGTGAATTCCAAGTATGTTTTCTGACCATAGTGAATTAAACTAGAAATCAGTAACAAAAAACTATTAGAAAATCTCCAAACACTTGCAAATCATACCACACACTTTTAAGTAATTCATGAATCAAGAGGAAACCTTAAAGAAAAAATATTTTAACTTAATAAAAATGAAAAGGAAACATGGGGTATCAGTTAAATCAGTGCTTAGAGAAAATTTTATAATATTAAAAATCTTATATTAAAAAGAAGAAAGGTCCCAAATCAATAATCAAAGCTTCTTCCTTAAGAAACTAGAAAAAAAATGTGTAAAATAAACTCAAAGTAAGCTGAAGGAGTAAATAAAGATCAAAGTAGAAATCAATAAAATAGAAACTAGGAAAACAATAGAGAAGAATCAACTAAATTAAAATCTGGTCCTTTGAAAAAAATCAATAAAATTGATAAACCTGCTGCTAGACTGACAGCAACAAAAAAGAGAAAAGACACAAATTACCAATATCAGGAGTGAAAGAAGGAAGGTCACTCGCCATCAACCCCACAAAATTTAAAATAAGAGAATACTACAAACATCACTATGTCCATATATTTACAGCTTAAGTCAAAGGTCAGCCAATTACAGCCCATGGACCAAATCTGGCCTACTCCCTGTTTTTGTAACATTGTTTTTTAGAACATGGCTGTACTGGTTTGAACGGTCCCTCCTCCCCCACCCCCAAATCCATATCCACTTGGAACCTGAGAATGTGACCTAAATTGGAAATAGGGTGTTGGCAAGTGTAATTAGTGAAAATGAGGTCGTGTGGGTGCAGGATAGGCCCTACATCAGATGTGACTGATGTCTTACAGGAGAGCGGTGGAAGATTTGGGTACAGAGATACAGAGAGACGCGAGGGAAGGCCATGCGACGACTGACGTGGAGATGAGACTTGCACTGTCTGGAGCTGGAAGCAACAAGGAAGGGCTTTCCTCTAGAGCCTTCAGAGGGAGCATGGCCCTGCTGACACCTTAGCTTTGGACTTCCAGCCCCGAACAAATTCTTGTTGCTTCAAGCCGCCCGGTTTCTAGTAGTTTGCTGTGACCGTCCCAGCAAACTGGAACAACAGCCACGCTCACTCATGCACGCTTTCACAGCACAGAGGCAGAGGGGAGCCGCGGTCACAGACTGCATGGCCCCCAGAGCGGACGATCATTTTTCTGTCCCTTTACAGCAGCGGTTCTCAACCTGTGGGTCCCGACCCCTTTGGCGGTTGAACGACCCTTTCACAGGGGTCGCCTAAGACCATCCTGCATATCAGATATTTACATGACGATTCATAACAGTAGCAACATGACAGTTATGAAATACCAACGAAAATAATTTTATGGTTGGGTCACCACATGAGGAACTGTACTTAAAGGGCCAGAAGGTTGAGAACCACTGCTTTACAGAAAAAGTGTGATGACCTTGACTTAGATGAAACAGACCGAGTCCTTAAAAGCCACAAACTACCAAAATGCACCCAAGAAAAAGAAATAACTAGAACAACCCTGTATCTATTAAAGAAATTTGAATTCGTAGTTTAAAAACTTCCAAGAAAAAAAATAAATCTCCTGGCCTGGATGGTTCCTCTAGTCAATTCTAATAAACATTTAAAAGAGAAATGACACCAATACTACACAAATGTCTTCCAGAAAGCAGAAGAGAAGGGGAAACTTCCCAACCCCTTTCATAAGGCTAGCATTACCCTAATGGCCAAACTACTACAGACCGATATCCCTCAGGAACATACAAACAAAAATCTCAAACAACACACCACAGCATCGCATATGCAATGTCCCTGAAAAGAAGAATATACGACGACCAAGGAAAGATTATCCCAGGAATGCCAAACTGGTTCAGTATTCAAAAACCAACCAATGTAATCCATCATATTAACAGGCCAAAGAAGAAAATCCGCATGAGCAGATCAAACTGAGATAATAAATGTCTGTTGCTTTAAACTGCTAGGTTTTGTGATCATTTGATATTCAGCAATAGATCATTAATATTAGCAACACACTGGTGGACCTCCTATTCCTCCTACATATCTTCCCCTCCCATCTCACATCCCGGAGAAAATATTTAGGTAACCACTAATCGGAATGTGTTGCTTATCTTTCCCATGCTTTAAAAAAAAAAAAAAGTACTTTTATTCTATATGCTTACACCCCCAAACCATATGTGTATATTTTACGTGGTTTTAAATTTTATAGACATATCACACTGTGTGCAGTTCTTCTGCTACTTATTCTTTTGATTGCTATGTGAGTAGAACCTGCTCATTTATCCTTGCAGATGTACAGTATTCCTCTGTGGATTTGGGCCACAATTTATCCATTCTTCTATTCCTGGACATTCCATTTGTTTTTAAACGTTTTGTTTTTCCAGTGTTGCTGTGTAGAAATGTGTGGGAGTTTCTCTGGGGGTGGGGGTGGGGGCGGGGAGCTTGGTCTATTCCTGGGTTTCTCCAAGAGTTTGTAATGAAGTGGCCACGATCCCAGCTGAGTGTGAGTGTGAGTGTGTGTGTGTGTGTGTCTGTGTGTGTGTGTGTGTGATGTTGCCTGTGCGTGTGTGAGGGTTGGAGAGGAAGTCAAGACATAATGACAAAGAACAATGACCACAGGTCACCAAGCCTGGTCTGTGTACCCAAGCCAAGCAATTCACATACTTATCACAGAGCATCTCCGCTGGAGGCCGATTTAAATGCTGTTGTACTTTCTTGGAATCTCCGGCTTTTCTCTCGATTCCTGCCTTGCCAGGGTAGTTTCTCTCTCAGTTCGCTTTCCCTATCCAAATCCTGCAACTTTTGCCAAGGGCTTAAGAGAAGGCATGAGGGGGCCGGAGGGGAGCAGAGGGGAGCCCCTCCCCAATGTGTGTGAAGAGTGAGGGGCTGAGGGCTGCTGAGGAAAGGGTGTAGGAGCGCAGGGAGAGGGAAAAGGCAGAGAGGGAGGGAAAGGGCTTGCGGGTGGGGAGGCAGTCTTCCTCCGCGGAGCCCAGGAGTTCTGCCTGCACCGGGGGAACCCAACATGCTCTGAGCAGCACAGGTTCCATGAGATGCCACAACACATGCATGTTCACAACAATGCACACGCCTAACAGCAAGCACAAACACCATGCACAGACACACGTGTATATAAACACACACCTGTGCATCCAACAAAACACTCGTGCACACGGTGGTACCCATAAACACCCCACACACCACGTGTGCACCTGCGCGCACACTGCTCACACTCTTTCCTGGTCAAATAAAAGTGGAAAATGATTTAGCACCTAGTCGCCCCCACCCCCCAGCCCGTGGATTCCCGCTGCACATCCGAATATCGAAGCCGTGAGGAGTCCAGCGTGAGAGACCTCCCTCTTCCTTCTGCTCAGGACCCTTCACTTGCTTCGCACCATCGGCTTCCTAATTATGTCCTCTGTGTGGGTATTTGTTTTTCAACATAGAACGAGATGGTACTTTTTAATTAGGGAAATAATGCACGCCGTTAGGAAACCAGCTAACGAATGCATTAGAGAGAAAGAACAAAGCCGGGAGCACAGAGGGGAGCCCTGCCGGCCTTCTGGTGTTCATCCTCCCAGGACTCCAGCTCATAAATATGCTCGTGCCTTTCTCCTTCTCATAAATGTTTCATCACTTGCTTTTTCCATTCGATAACGTAAGTCCCAACGCTTCGTGGTATTCCCTGCTATGGCTTGTGGCGGGCTGCATTTCCAGAGATGGCTGAGCAGTAGCTCCCACCTCACAAGCTCCCCTAGGCCCTCGCCACTCCCCAGCGAGAAGTGGGGCCCCTCCCTTGGAACCTGGGCTGACCTTTGTGACTGCCACTCAACACGATGTGATTAGTCAAACAATTCCGCCTTGCCCTCCGGGACCAGCGCCATGCTGTGAGGAAGCCCGTGTGGGCATGAAGAGGCTCGCCATGCTGTGAGGAAGCCCATGTGGGCATGAAGAGGCTCGCGTGGCGAGGAGCAGAGAGGCCCCGCCTCCAGCCCCCGCTGAGCTCCCAGACCAGGGAGGAAGTGGCCTTTAATCAAGCTGTCCTGAACCGAGCTGTCCCAACTGGGGCCGCACAGAGCACACAGCTGCCTTGCGAGCCCCGCCCAAATGGCAGGTACGTGGGGAAAATGAACGACTTGGGAGCGGCGTATGACACAGCAATAGCTGGCTGGAACACGGAGGCTCATGCTTTGTGTAAGCACCACGCTGCTGCTGCACACGGAGGGTGTTTCCCGTCCCGGCATGCATGCCTGCTTTCTTCCGCAGCCTGCCCTGTCAGCCGGGGGCAGCAGCCCTGGCTCATGTGTTTGAGGCCAGTGCTGGGTTGGTGCACACGGGAGGAGCTCAGTTGGTGCTTATTGCAAAGCTTAGTGAGGGGAATGGATGGTCTCAAGGACCTGAGAGGGGTCCTGCCTTCCCTTTCCCTGCTCCTGGGACATGGCCTTTCCCTGCTCCCACTAAGGCATCTCTCTCACTGCACAGCTCACCGGCTCCCATGGGTCCCTGGGAAGGACAGGGACACATAATGGTTGGGGCGGGTGTGGCCTGAGCGGGTGATGGCCACTCCTTGTCCCGGGGGAGCGTGAGCTTTGTTGCTGTCAGTTCTGCACGAGGAAGGACTGACGATACTGGGATATGAAAGACCTCTGACCTGGACCTGGAGCTGTGGGGACGGTGGCGGCTGGGAGAAGCCATCGCTCTCTGCTTCTGGCGGGAGGGACTGCAGTGGCAGGAGAACTGGAGGCAGACAGCAGGAAGGACTTCCCCTCCATGAGAAATGAAGCTCTCCGACTGCAGCGAGTGGTGCAGAGAGCGATCTCAAGAGGCGGATCTCCCGCCTGGTTGAACGCTTATCATCCCGTGAGGCTCAGGTGCCACCCAGCGTGGAGGCAGGGAGAGGGCCCGGCCACCTTCCAAGCTCTTGTGCTGTGAGGAAGCGCTGTCCTCAGAAACGAACAGGACCCAGCAAGAGCCCTTCCGGGGTGTTCAGGAAAAATACTTCTGAACACTGCCCCCCTCATCAGCACCCCAGCTGAGAAGTGTCCTCCCATTCCCTGTACCACCAGCAGCACAATGTCTAGGACTCTGACTGCCACCAGGGGACTTGGGTTCAAGTCCTAGCTCTGCTGTGTGATCCCCGGTTAGTCAATGAGCTTCTCTGAGTCTCATCCATCACAGAGGGAAGAGAGCCCACCACCCGGGGTTATTGAGGGGTTGGATGGGACCCGTCGGTGAACGCAGCTGGAAAGCTGTAATCACATCAGCATGGTGAGCTACCACTATAGTTTGCTATCCTGTACCTTACTGTGGCGGCAGTATCTCAGGTCCCCCATCAGGGTGAGGACACAGCTGCCTGCCCTGTGGGGTTGCAGAGCCTAAGGCAGGAGCCTGGGCCTTGATGAATGATTTTCTCTCAGTAGCCAAGGCCCATCTTCAGGAATCCCGGTAGGACCTGCTGGGCCTCATACCAACAAGATTCACGCTTCTCTGCGGGTGGATTGCAAGGCCTATGGAAGCCACGTCAGTCTGCCAGGCCCCCCAGCCGCCCCCCCCCCCCCCCGGCCTCCGGGGCTGACAGCCCAGAACACTGAGCATTAGTTAATCCCTGCTCCTCTTTCTACAAAAGCACAACTCTCTTAAAATAGCAGCATGATTTAGTTCATTATTCTCCATGGTAAGTGGGTAACTGTAGGAATACAATTCACCCAGCTACCTGCTGTCTGATTGTGTTTCCTAAAATCCCGCTTTGCACTTGCCACTGCTTCTCCTTCCCCAAGAGCTTTCAATGGCTCCCAAGATTTCATAGGATAAAGCCTCAAACCCCACGTCTAAGATTTCGGGACCTCCACCATCTGGGCCCTCCTTACTTTCCTGCCTCGCTGACAGGAGCCTACACTCTGGACAAACTAGCCAGTCTATTCCCTGTCTTTTGTCTCTGCTTCCTTTGACTGGGGCCCTTTAAGGTTCTGGTCAAATCCAGCTTCCTCCATGAAGCCCTCTTAGATTGCTATAGCCCAGAGTTTCTTGAAATTGACTTGCACCATCGGCATCAGAATCACATGAACTGGGGAGTGGGGTTAAAAAATCATGGGCCCCACCCAGATCTATTAGACCAGACTACCTGGGAGAGAGAACGCCTGGGACGTTGCTCATTTGACAATCCCCACCCATCCCATTATACCCCAGTGTAACTTGGTAACTGGCTGTCCTGCTCTGAACCCCTGGAGCACTTGGACCGGGACCTCTCATGTAGACACATCACATGCAGGAACACGATAGACTAGACACTCCAAAGCACCCTCTCTCTCTAAAACACGGATCCTTCATGGGCCATATTTAATAACCCGGGCTTGGGAGAAGTCAGGGGAACCCTCGAGACTGCCCTCAGGGAGGAGCATGCTGCTTTCAGCTCTACAATGGGGTCCCTGCAGGGAAGGCAGGGACTCAGGTGGCCAGCGTCCCCTGGCTTCCACCTGAAGCTATTGCAAGCCTCTCTGGAGGAAAACATTTCAAATTGCTCCCCCAGGGTTCCCCCAGGTGAGGGTTATGCAAAAACAGACAACAAAAAACTCGTGATCAAAGTTCACCCAACACTTACTAAAATGAGCCACCATGACTGAGAGTCAGCGGAAAGCACAAGCAACAGATGTGAATTCTCTGGGAGTTAGGATACTAGGATAATTAGACAATGGTTACAAAATAATTATGCATACAATATTTTCAAAATTAAAAATAGAATGGCAAGGATAATCAGGAAACAAAAGTCTGAAAAATGACAAGGCTGATTTTTTTTTTAATTGATTTCAGAGAGAGAGAGAGCATCAACGTTGAGAGAGAACATTAATTGGCTGCCTCCTGCACACTCCCTACTGGGGATCAAGCCCACAACCCAGGCATGTGCCCTTGACCAGAATCAAACCCAGGACCCTTCAGTCCACAGGCCGATGCTCTATCCACTGAGCCAAACCGGCTAGCCACTAGGATATTGCAAGGCTGATTTTTTAAAAGGACTGAATAGACCTCATAATAAAATAAAATCAATGAATGGGTCAAACAAGATATTAGACATAGTTGGGGAAAGAATTAGTGAAGTGGAGACTAGAGCAGAAAACTGCACTTTGATTGCAGCACAGCAAGTCAAGGACATAAATATGAGAGAGAGGTTAAAAGGTGTGATAGACTCATTAGAGTCTCAAAAGAAGAAGAATAGAGAAGAAGAATTATTTGAAATAATAATGGTTGTAAATTTTCCATTTTGATTAAAAATGTGGACTTACAGAAATAGGAAGCACAGTGAAAAGCAGGATAAATACAAAAAGGCCTCATCCAGCGGTCGCCAACCTTTCGGACCTCACGGACCACCAGTGGTCTGCGGACCACCGGTTGGCGACCGCTCTAATCCACCTGGCCAGGCTGACTGAATTTTGTAGGTTCAGGGACCCGCTGGTCCTGAAGCTGGTCCTGGCTATTAAGAGAAACTCAGCCCTGGCCAAGTGGCTCATTGGTTGGAGCATTGTCCCGTATACCAAAAGGTTGCAGGTTTAATTCCCGGTCAGGACACATATCCAGGTTGTGGGTTTGATTCCTGGTTAGGGAGGGTATGGGAGGCAACCGATCGATTTTCTCTCTCTCTAAAATTCAATGAAAACATATTCTCAAGTAAGAATTGTTTAAAAAGAGAAAGAGAGAAAAACTCATTGTGCAGAACATCAAACAGAAAGAGGAAATCCTAAAAGCAGCCAGAGAGAAAAGACAGATCTGGTCTCCTGCCTCCTTATAATGTCAGTTCCCTGAAGATGAGCACGCCCAGTCTCCAGCCAGATCCGCGTCCCTGAGGGCCCAGGCCTCTATCGTCTGTGAGCCCTCAGGTACATTACACACCTGAGTGCCTGGGTTTCCACTGGGAGAAGCTTGAGGGACGAGTTGCAGGGTGGGAAGAGTCATGGCTTTGGAGACAGGCAGGTCTGGGATAAATCCTGGCCACCCCTGCTCCCCACTGCCTGTGGTCACTGTTGCTTGCCTGGGGTGAATGCTCAAACATGGTCATTGACTTGTGTGTTGTTGAAGTTGAAAAGAGTAAGATAACCAAACACCCAGGTAAGGATTCCGACTTTTCAAAGATTTGCTTAAGTGCCTACTCTGTGCTCAGACAGGCCTCGAAGATTCTCTCAGGGAGCCCTTGAGACAGCCCTGTAAATGGTCAACGTTTGCAGAGGCACCTCAGGGGCCAAGGCACGATATAATCACTCCCCTTGACTTATGCACGTCCACTGGCCTGTGCAAGGCCCCTCTACCATCATTTTCTTTTCTCTCCTACATCCCGACCCCCACTCACATTCTCTCCGAAACCAGCACACGTTCTGATGCACTTGCTATATGTCTTTGAATATGTATGTCTCTCCTTGTTAAATATGTAGTGTTGGTTTGCCTGAGAACATGTTTCTAAATTCTGTTTCTTTTTCCCACTCAACACTATATTTTATCTATCCCTATATCTGTCTGAACATCTAGTGTGTTTTTTTACATGGCAGCGTGGCATTTTAGAGTGTCCCCACTTAACAGGTGAGATAACCAATCCTCAGAGTCTAGATGACCTTTCCCAAGGTCACACAGGCAGTAAGGAGCTGGCCTTGGTCAGCACCTTCACAGCAGGCCTCTCTCCCTTCACAGATTCAAAGCGAGAAGTTCATTGCCTCTTCTCGCGGGGCCCACTGGCCGACCCTTCCTGTGGGGGAAGGTCCTCCGCTGGCCTCCACGGGCCTCCACAATGCCCCACTCACCCTAGCGCTTGGCTTCTGGAAGGCCCAGCCCTTCTTCTTTCAAACCTCTCAGTGCAGTGCTTTTACAGTATTTAATCGAACCTATCTAATTAGGTAAACAATTTAATTTACGTCAATAGGTGACACAATTGCATGTTTCAATATTCAGAAGATATAAAAAGGTGTACAGAGAAGTCTTCCTCTCTGCCAACCTCAGGCACCATGTTCCCCAACCTGGAAACACCCACTGTGAGCCACATTTATTAATCTTACCGGAGGTATTTTGTCCTTACACAGAAATATGTTTACATGCCGTGCCCAGCCCTCCCTCGTTTTATGCCTTCTCCTTATCCTGTTCTACACATACGTTTGTCACTTCAGCCTGCATCTGAGGGATTGTTCCACATCCGCGTTCTACTGGCTTTGTCTCTCTTTGTGGCTGCATAGTGTTCCATTGTACACATATACCCTGATTTAGTCAATTAAGTCCCTATGGACGGACATTGTCCAATCTCTTGCTCAATAAATTGCTACAACGCACGTCACCGTGCACATGTCACTTCTCATGTAGGTGAGCGGGTGGATGTTAGGAACACTGCTCAGGCTCCTCCAGGGCCGGGCACTCATTCCCCCAGCAGCCAGAGCATTGGCTGCTGACGGCTCACAGCTGCAACCCTCTTCAGGCACCGCCCCCCACTCACCCTTCCCCAGGCTACACGCCTCCCTAGGGCATGAACAGCCACTCACTGGTCCACGATCACCCCCTAACCCCAGTCTGGGACACCCCTGCAGCCATCCGAGCCCAGGGCTCCCTGGGGCCTGCATGGTGGTTCAGCTCCTCCCTCTGCCCCGCACTCCCCCGCCAGGTGCTGCTCCCCAGGACCTTCCCCAGTTAACGTCCTGCGTGCAGATCTGTGCCTCAGTGACTGTTTCCAGGGAACCCCATCAAAGACAGAGCTCTGTTTGTAGGATAAATTCTAGGTAGAGAACTGAGAACTATGTGCTTGTACTGTGGGTAGATGTCAACATACGTCAGAGGCTGAACAAAGGAATGTACGCACCTGGCGAGCAGTCTGCCCTGAATGGAGCCCTTCCACCTGACCCAGGGAGAAGGTGCGTTTGTGCAGATGTCCCAGGACTTCCCGGTGTCCCTGAGCAGCAGGCAGGACAGATAACGGGCCCTTTGCAGCTGGGAGGTGGGGCTGCCCAAGGTGGCCCGCTGGGCAGAGGCGGGCCATCCTGGTTTTCATCAGACATAGGATGCTGAGACCTTTGGCCCATCAGGGACTGGAGAAAGGGGAGGGGCTGCAGGAAAATGCACATAAACAGAGGTGCAGCTGGAGAGTCTCACCCCTGCGAACCCATGAACCCACGTCTCTGTGGGGAGGGCCCTAGGAGTGGCCCCAAAGCCATCCCTGTCGGGGGTTTCCTTCCCTCAGAGTTGAAGCAGGAAGTGGCTGAAGGAGCTTCTCCAGGGCAAGACTCTGAGCTCAGAAGTAGAGAGGGAGGAGGAGAGGAAGGAGAGAGGGAGGGGGAGAGGAAGTAGAGAGGGAGGGGGAGAGGAAGGAGAGAGGGAGGGGGAGAGGAAGGAGAGAGGGAGGGGGAGAGGAAGTAGAGAGGGAGGAGGAGAGGAAGTAGAGAGGGAGGGGGAGAGGCAGTAGAGAGGGAGGGGGAGAGGAAGTAGAGAGGGAGGGGGAGAGGAAGTAGAGAGGGAGGGGGAGAGGAAGTAGAGAGGGAGGGGGAGAAGAAGTAGAGAGGGAGTGGGAGAGGAAGTAGAGAGGGAGGGGGAGAGGAAGTAGAGAGGGAAGGGGAGAGGAAGTAGAGAGGGAGGGAATAGGAAGGAGAGAGGGAGTGGGAGAGGAAGTAGAGAGGGAGTGGGAGAGGAAGTAGAGAGGGAGGGGGAGAGGAAGTAGAGAGGGAGGGGGAGAGGAAGTAGAGAGGGAAGGGGAGAGGAAGTAGAGAGGGAGGGGAATAGGAAGGAGAGAGGGAGTGGGAGAGGAAGTAGAGAGGGAGTGGGAGAGGAAGTAGAGAGGGAGGGGGAGAGGAAGTAGAGAGGGAAGGGGAGAGGAAGTAGAGAGGGAGGGGAATAGGAAGGAGAGAGGGAGTGGGAGAGGAAGTAGAGAGGGAGTGGGAGAGGAAGTAGAGAGGGAGTGGGAGAGGAAGTAGAGAGGAGGGGGGAGAGGAAGTAGAGAGGGAAGGGGAGAGGAAGTAGAGAGGGAAGGGGAGAGGAAGTAGAGAGGGAGGGGAATAGGAAGGAGAGAGGGAGTGGGAGAGGAAGTAGAGAGGGAGGGGGAGAGGAAGTAGAGAGGGAAGGGGAGAGGAAGTAGAGAGGGAGTGGGAGAGGAAGTAGAGAGGGAGGGGAATAGGAAGGAGAGAGGGAGGGGGAGAGGAAGTAGAGAGGGAAGGGGAGAGGAAGTAGAGAGGGAGGGGGAGAGGAAGTAGAGAGGGAAGGGGAGAGGAAGTAGAGAGGGAGGGGAATAGGAAGGAGAGAGGGAGTGGGAGAGGAAGTAGAGAGGGAGTGGGAGAGGAAGTAGAGAGGGAGGGGGAGAGGAAGTAGAGAGGGAGGGGGAGAGGAAGTAGAGAGGGAGGAGGAGAGGAAGTAGAGAGGGAGTGGGAGAGGAAGTAGAGAGGGAGTGGGAGAGGAAGTAGAGAGGGAGGGGGAGAGGAAGTAGAGAGGGAAGGGGAGAGGAAGTAGAGAGGGAGGGGAATAGGAAGGAGAGAGGGAGTGGGAGAGGAAGTAGAGAGGGAGTGGGAGAGGAAGTAGAGAGGGAGGGGAGAGGCAGTAGAGAGGGAGTGGGAGAGGAAGTAGAGAGGGAGGGGGAGAGGGAAGGAAGCCTTTCCCTTCTTCATGTGCGTGCAGGTGTGTGCCCGGCCTTCCTCCCACTCCTCCCCCTGTGAAGGGCTGCCCATCCGACAGCTGTGCGAACGGAAGGCCTGAACCACTGAGTGACTCCATCACCCAACAAACTGGCCTCAGAGACACGAGGCAGCGAAGGTCTCCTGATCCCGCTTGAACCCAAGGTCCATGCCCTGGTGTGGGGTGGGTGGGGGCGGGGTCAGCCTGGGAGACTCTCCCAGGGCGTCCTGGGCAGCCCACCCCCAGAAGGTCAAGCTCTAGGGCCCAAGCTCCCTGCTACTCAGGAGGGGCAGGCAGACCCACACCTTGCTTCTCAAGGCTGCCTCCCACCCCAGAGCCGGCTGACATCCACCCTCTGCCACAGCCAATCACAGCACGGTTCCAGGACCCTGCCAAAGGACTTTCCAACTTCCGGGGGCTGCAGGGGGATCAGGGGAAGGAAGTGTAGAACAGCCCGACCCACTTCCGGACCCTGATAGCTGTGTTCTGATACGTGCCTTGGGCTGGAAGGGCCTCTTCCTCCCCCCACTCCCCCACCCCGCAAAGCACCCCCTGCTCTGGGAAGCCCTCCCCCACCTTCCCAGGGGAGTATGCCCACCACCCACTCACTAACCACTGGCCACACGCGGGGTTAGGAGTTCAGTTGTGTCCCCCAACATTCATACATTGCAGTCCTAACCCCCAGGACCTCGGAGTGTGACCTTATTTAGAAATGGTTGTTGCAGAGATAATTATTAGGATGAGGCCTGGCTGAAGCAGGGCGGGCCCCTAATCCAATGCGTCTATGTCTTTATAAAAATGCCACGTGAGGAGAAAGAGACACGTTCAGGGGAAAGATGATGTGAAAATACCATCTACGAGGAAAGCCAAAGATTGCCCCCCAACCCCCAGCAGCGAGGAGAGAGGCGGGGATGGGTCTCCCGCATGGCCCCCGCAAAAGGGACCAAGCTTGATCTTGGGCTTCCGGCCCCAGAGCTGTGAGAGAGTGAGTTTCGGCTGCTCAGCCACTCCCTGGTACCCAGTGCGGCTGCCCCTGGAAGCTAGTGCACCGGCGGGCTCTGTGCACGGCCACCCTGAGCTCCCTGCAGGCTGAGCTAAGGCGCTCCTGGATGCTCCAAGCTGGTGCTGTCACCCTCACACTTTGGGAAACTGAGGCTTAAAGCTGGTTAGGGAGAGCCACAGTATGGACGCAGGCCGCCTGGCGCCCCAGCCTGTGTTCTAAGCACTAGCCTATCCGTCCTGGCTGTCGCTGCCAGTAGCATTACTGGGGGGAGACCCGCGGGTCACTGTCAGCGTTACTGCGGGCTCCGGATACAGGGGAAGAGCTTCCAGCACCATGGGGCCGGCCAGGCTCCAGCCAGTGGGAGGCAGGCCCAGGATTTGCAACACAGCCCCAGCCCCCCCCCCGGCCCCCCCCCACCCCCCGCTCCTGTAGGCAGACCGCATGCAGCTCCTCACTGTGGGCACATGTCCCCAGGCCCAGCTGAGTGTCCTGAGAGGGCCGGGCTTGCTCATCCCACCTCTGGGCCCCCGGGCCCCGCAGGGTGCCGTGCACACAGCAAGTGCCCCATAAATGCAGCGGGAAGGGAGAATCCATGCCTGGCTCCAACGCAGCGGCCTCCTTGGATCTCATGACAGCATTTCATACGCAACTCCAAGTATCGACAGAATTCTCCTCTCGGCCTGCTAAACGCCGACCTAATTTTCCAGTCTATTGACAGACTTCATCTTACTTAACTGGCCCCTATTGTGTAGCAATTGGAAGGGCTCTCATCCCCTCTTAAACGACGGGGAGGTGCCTGGAACACCCTCGCTGTGGCGGGCGCCTTCGGAAGGAGCCAGAAGAGCATTTCTGTGCCGCTAAAAGCAGCAGCCACTGGCCGGAGGCTGGGGGACAGGCCCGGCCATCCTGGGGCCCAGGAGGCATCGCTCTGTCCGCAGTCAGCTCAAACTGTGTCCTGAGTCCCTGCTCACCTGTGCTGACCCCGTCGAGGGAGCAGAGGACAGAGCTCCCGCATGGCCTCCCCACCCTGACCCGTCCTGCTCTGATGCCCACTCTTGTCTTCTCTGTGTCTTACATCTTCCAAACCTTCTCTGAAACAGAATCCTGGAATGACTAATCTCCGACCTGGTGCCCGCATGCCCCAGGCGCTGGGGACTGACTCAGTGTCCCTCTTGTGGAGCTGACATTGCAGAGAGGAGACATGGACGTGAAACAGAGAGAAGGCAGGTGGTGGTAAGCGCGAAGGTAACGGGGAAAGGGGTGGCCATTTAAATGGGGTGGCCCAGGAAGGCCTCTGTGAGGTCATGAGCAGAGGCCTGAGCAAAGAGGAGGCGTGAACCACGTGGACATGTGGAGGAAGAACTTTCCAGGCCACGAGAACAGTGAGTGCAAAGGCCCTGAGGCGAGAGAGGCTGCACGTTCTGGAAACAGCAAGGAGGCCCGTGTGGCTGGAGTGGGTGAGACGAGTGGCCACATGGTGCAGGGCTCCGGAACCCCCTCACAGCTGTGGCGTTTACTCTGCGAGAGATGAAAGGTGTGCACGGACCCAGGGCTTGGCCTGGCTCGTTTTAAAAGCAGCTGCTGTGTGGAGAGAGAACTGTAGGGGACAGGGAGAAGCAGATGCCATAGTCCAGGCAAGACAACGCTGGCCTCTGCCAGGGTGGTAGCTATGAGGCATGTGAGCCCACCCACTCACTCGCACACCCACATATGCGTGCGCACGTGTCCATGCACTCACACCGCCACATACATGCACACACATGTACTCACACGCGCACACATATGTGTGCGCGCACTCACACACACATGCACACACGATCTATTTTGAAATGAGTGCTGGTAGCATTACCAGATCTAGAAGCAACTTCAGAGCCCTTTCCCAGCCCGTGTAATAGGCGAAGGTAGTTCCCTTATCCACGGCTTCACTTTCGGCAGTTTGGTCCCCGGGATCAACGGCAGTCTGATGGCTGTCAGGTGTGGCAGTGCTTGTGTTCGAGTAGCCCGCAGCGTAGCCTGAAGCTACGTCACAACGCCCGTCCCTCCCTCACCCCTCACCGCCCTTCATCTCACTGAGGAGGCCTTGCACCATCGCCCTTTCACCATCACAAGGGGGGGGAGGGGGGAGTGCAGCACAGTGGGATTTTCTGAGAGAGAGAGAGAGACCACATTCACTGTTATTACAGTGCATTGTTATAACTGTCTATTAGTTCTCGCTGTTAACATCTTGCTGTGCCTAACTTATAAATTAAACATTCTCATATGTCTCTCTGTATGTTTAGAAAAACATCGCATATCTAGGGTTTGGTAGTACCCATGGTTTCAGGCATCCGCCACGGGCCTTGGAAGGTATCCCCCGAATATAAGGTGGGGATCCCTTCTATACAAAACTGAGGCCCAAAGAGGAGAAGTGACCCATGGGCCACATACACAGCTGGGATCTTAGACCTGGAACCCGGTCTCAGCACCCCGCCCCAGGCTCTTGCCCCAGCATCTCTCTGCAGTGCGTCTCCTCCCCTCTTTGTCTTCTGTTCCCAGCCTGTCTGTCTATCTCCGGCATTTATTTCTCCTCCCGTCAGGCCCAGTTCGGAGCATTAATTAGTGATGAATTAGCAACGTAAATCCCAGCAGTGTCGCCTGGTGCCCACGGGCTCCTGGAAGGGACCTTGCAAATCTGATCTTAATACCTCTCGCCTCCTCTCCTAGGGCAATTACTTCTCACATCATTTGTCTGCGGAAGCTGTGGCCACCCCCCACCCTACCAGCCCGGCTGAGGACAACAAGTTCATCTTTGTCAATTAATTATTGAACGGTTTATTTCGCACTGGGAGGTGATAAGAGAAGGGAAAGCCGTGTTGTGAAATCATCACCGTAATTACACAGACGCTGCCCCAGCGCCCAGCATCGCAACCCCTCCCCGCCCCCCCCCCCCAGGTGCCTGTGGGGGAGGGAGAGAACAAAGGGCAGGCCTGCTGGGCAGGAGACCTATCTGTGGCCTTCGGGCAGCCCCTGGGCCTCTGTGGCTGTGATCAACAAACACACCCCTACAGAGCTTTCAGAGTCCAAGTTGAAGTGGGGAGGGGGAGACAGGGAATTACGCAGGGCTGGAAGCATGGTGTGCAGGTCATGCTTCTTTGTCTGGGATGATCAGAATGCGGGAAGGCTCAGACTACCCTTGTAGTCCTTCCCATCCTAGGCTAGGAGTCCCGTAGCATGCACAAATTGTGGCTGCGTGATAAAGGGTCTCTGATACTCTAGCAAAAAGCCCTTTCCTTCCCTCACTCTAGTAACAATGGCCCACAAAGCTCAGAGCATCTGTCCCAGGCAGCCTGCCCCATTACTCCTCACCTCATCTCCCCTTTGCTCACTCCACTGCAGCCACACTGGTCTCCTTGCTCCTCGGTGTTAATGCCAGCCCCTCCCCCCCCCCCCCCCCGCTCCCACCCCAGGGCCTTTGCACATGCTGTTCCTCCTGCTTGGAGTGTTCTTTCCTCAGAGGTCTATATGGCTCACTCTCATCTGCTGCTTGATGAGCGTCACCTTCCAGTAAGACCCTTCCTGGGCACCTATTAAAATTGCAACCCACCCACCCCCCACTAGACTGACTGGGGGGACCGCTGTGTACGTTATAGAATGTCTAACCACTATGCTGTACATCTGAAACTAATAGAACATCGAATGTCAACTGTAATTGAAAAATAGAAAAAGAATTTTTAAAAAATTGCGACCCACCCACTCCTTGCCCTGACACAAACATTCTGTATCTCTCTTCCTGCTTTATTTTCTCCAGATCATTTCATCATATTTGACATTTGATGTGTTTTACTTATTTATTTGTTCTCTCTTTCTCTCAAGGATAAACTTCACAAGGGCTGGGATTTTTGTCTGTTTCCTCCCCTCCCCCCATCGTGTCTGTGTCTGCAGCACCGAAACAGCATTTGGCACAATATAAGCGGAGTTAATAATTATTGCATGAACGAATATTTGCGTAGGATGGGGTCTGGCTATGGAAGGATGGGGGTGGGTTCCTTCTCCAAGGTCCACTGTAGCACCGGGGATTTAGGGAGATTCTGGGAAGAGCTGGAGGACACTGGTCAGGGAGGAAACTGCTGAGAAAGTCATTTGAAAAGCAAGTGTTCCAGGTGATTTCGTGTCTGTGCACGCCTGGAGGCTGGCGCGCTTGACGCTGCCCCTCCATCGGTCACACACAGATGGTCCCCACCCCCTCCGAGCGCTCCCCAGGGTGGGGACAGAAGCTTCGGACACTTGGATGAACTCCCCAGCAAGAGTTGCCTCACCTGTCTCCTCTCACCACAGCTGTTCTGGGGGGCAGTGCGCTGGGGGCTGGGCAGGGCATCTCTGCAGGGTGTGAGGAGGGGGAGCTGGGGCAGGCAAGGGGAGGGGGTGCCTGGAGCACAGTGAGACCTGGGCTGGGCCTCCGTGCCACCAGGAGGAGGTGGGGGAGCTGGATGGAGAGATAATAGGGAGGCTTGGGAGGAGTTGCAGAGAGAACTTGAACACAATGAGGGGGCTTCGGGGGAACTGACTAGGGGAGGACAGGGCGGGGGCTGGGGTGGGGGGTGAGCTGGAGGGGACACCAGCCTCTCCTCCATTCCTCCAGGACCCTCTCTGAGGCTCCCTTCCTCTCCTCCGAGCTATGCTGCCCTCCCCCCAGAAACGAAGATGGTGATTTTTTAGAGTCAGTTTTCCCCCAAATCTCTGGAGATGCCAGAGCTGCTGTTTCCATGGAAACCTTCCCCGCCAACCTTGGGAAGGAGGAGCTGAGCAGCCCCCACCACCCCCGCGCTGCCCCTGCTCCAGGCTGCAGGGGGGCCCCAAGTTGAAAATACGCCCCCTCCCCCAGATTTCCCCAGCAGGGGCTCCGCTTCTTTGCTGAGGGCGAGGCAGCTGGTTTTGTCTCTGGCCTCAGGCCTAGATGGGAGGACGTAAGACCCAGGCAAGAGAGAAATGGGGCTACTGGGGGGTGAGTGGCTTCTAGGGTGAGCTCTGTCTTCGGGCATCACCCGCCTGAAATGACTGACTGGCCAGGGGACCAGTACTCGGGGAAGGGCCCCTGGCAGCATCTCTCTTTCCCAGGAAATCCCCAAAGATCCCCAGTTCTTTCTGGCCCTGCTCAGCTCTGGGGAGCTGCCCTCCCCGGGCCCCGGGCCACCTGAATTCCACAGGGACCGCACTGCAAACTGCAAAAACACCAAGCTCTGTCCAGCTCGAGCAAGGAAGGGACTTATTGGAAGGAGCATCTTAGCTCCTTGAAGTGATGAAACAGCGGGAGAAGCAGGCTCAAAACCTGGCCAGAGCCAAGAGAGACTGTGGGCTGCCAGAGTCACCCAAGACAGCCACGCCAGGGCAAGGGACTCGCTGCCTCTGGCCACTGGCCCCCTGTGGACACCAGCATGTCTGAACGCTGGCCACCTGTGGACAGTTGTAATGATCCCACTTCTTGGTGCCGCTCCCTCCAGGTCAAGATCCCGGGCAAAGGGATAGGATGAGGGAGGTTGTTTTTTAAAAAATGTATGTTCATTTATTCCAGAGAGGAAGGGAGAGAGAGATAGGAACATCAATAATAAGAATCATTGATTGGCTGCTTCCTGCATGCCCCGCACCAGGGACTGAGCCCATAACCCTGGCATAGGCCCTCTCTGGGAATTAAACTGTGACCTCCTGTTCAATTCAACCTGTTCATAGGTTGATTCTCAACCACTAAGCCACACCCGCTGGGCAGGATGAGGGAGTGTTTTGGGTGATGGAACTGTTCAATGTCCTGATTGTGGTTACACATGTGTTTAAAATTCATAGAACTGTATAGCAACAAAATCAAATAAATTTTACTCTATGTTAATGTAAAAAATAAAATCCTGGGCAAAAACACCCTGTGGCTAAAATGGTTCCCATGCCCATAGCCCAACTTCCAGGCCAGGGAGGGGCCTGTCTGCACTCTCTTGGCTCCCAGAACAGGTTGGGTCTGGCCCCAGCCACACTCACACCCTGGGAAGTCCATGACGAGGTAGGCAGTTTGGGTGGCTGGCCAATGGGCAGGTGTCCACTTCCCAGGCCAGCACTTGCATCTGGGAGCTTCCTAGGAGAGGTAACCGCTGTGAAGGCCCCACTTCATCCAGACCAGCAGCTCCCGAAGGAGGGGACGGGCAGCTGCTGACCCAGGGGACACGAGAAGCCAGGCACCCATTCACCAAGCACACACCACACGTGCAAGGGCGCACACTCGGGCTCCGAGGCATGCTCACAGCCCTAGTCCTGGTTTGAGCCGCAGAAAACCTCAGCCCCAGTTTACTGCATCCTCTTCGATCCACCCCTCCACCCTCCGAGCGAAGTCACCTCCTCTGTAGAAGGAGAGGCCTCCAGGGCTTCTTGGCCGGGTGGCCAGCTATGGCGGGCTGAGCAAGGACACCTGAGATTTCATGGAACCGCACTTCGGCAGCCTGGGTTCCTGCTGCAACCCTGTCCTGCCTCTGTCCTGCCTCTGTCCCGCCTACAGAGGGTGGAGAGAATGGCCACATGTCACAGAGAAACCCCTGGGGGCTCACCTGGGAAGGAGCACTCTTCTGCCAGAGCAGGAGGCTCTGGTGACAGCCAGATGCAGCCATGGGATTGTCCTAAGAGCCCGTGCGATGGTGCTTCTCTGGGAACAAGGGGGGGAAGCAAGGGGGGTGCCTTCCCCAGGCCCTGGGTCCAAGGGAGCGGAGGATGATGGAGGGTCTTTCTTAAGGAACTTGCGACAGCCCAGCACTGGCCTCACACACTCCAACTCTCAGTAGCTCCAGGAATCAGGGAGAGAAGGCGCCCCAACTCTCCCCAGCAGTCCTCCACGGGCCCACACTAACCCCCCCAATTCTACCTGTGCTGGGTGGGAGCTGAGTCTGACTTCCAACCAGAAGCTTCCCAAAGACTGTGGGCGATGCTCTCCCTGGGACAATGCAGTTGCCAACTCCTTAAGCTCATGCAAGGAGCAGCGGGAGGGAGAGCTCTCGCCCTGGACACCAGGCGTGTGCACAGGGACCTGGCCCCCCTGGAGCACCTCTCCCAGCCCAGCGCTGTCTAAGGACTTGCTCCCCCTTCGGGATCACATGGGGGGGGGGGGGACCTACTCCCAACAGCTCTGGTGGAAGTGCCTGGAGGTTAACGGCAGGGGAACAGCGGGGAGTGGCTTCCCGCACAGTCCTAGACTGGATCAAGTGGCCAGACTCCAGGCTGGGGCCGGGGGTGTGGGCACGCAGAGCCCACCTGGTGCCTTCTCTCCTACCTTCACCTGGCCCTGGGCCCTGCTCTCTCCTTGCTCCTCTGACTGCACCTGGAGCCCTGCTACCTGGGCCAGGACCCCAGAGAAGGAGGTGGGGAGGGAGGGCAGTGGGGGCTCTCCGGGGAGGGAGGGGATGTACCATAGGCAGCCTAAGGCTTCCCATGAGCATATATGTGCACCGCAAACAGCAGAACCTTTTCCAAAGGGCACATGTTGACTTGTGTTGTTAAGACTGCATGGGAAAGCCATGTGACAATAACACCAAGAGACACAAAGGGATGCCTTTTTCTGGCCTGCTGCCCTGGCAACCACAGGGCACGCCACCAGGCTCCATCGGCTTGAGAAGGGGCGGGGGAGGGAGGCGGGTCCTCTGACCAGAAACTGTGGGTGAAGGGGAATGGAATGGACAAGGGGGAACACTCCACTGGGAGCTACATTGGCAGGCCTTGGTGGTGTCTCAGGAGATAGAAATAAAAGGTACGTCCCAGGTCCTCAGAGTTCCAGCTGTGGGAAGGCACACAGAGAAGCAGCCAGTAAGTGCAGCCAGGAAGGGTGGGCACAGCAGGGTGGGGCATCCAGGAGGGAGCCCAGCCCACCTAGGGAGGGCGAGAGACATAGCCGTGAGCCCTTGAGCCCGGGAAGATGTCAGGACGGCAGAGTGAGGGCCACCCCAAGGCAGGGAGGTGCGGGCTCATAATTAGACCAGCTCAGCGTGAAGCCCCTGGTGTTGGCCCAGCGCCCTACAGGTGCTGCCACCTGCTCTACATGGCTGATTCTCACGCAAAGCTGGGATGGCGAGAATGTTCTGTAAGTGCACAGTCTGGTAGCCACTAGCCTGAGCCCTGGAAATGCGGCGAGTGCCACTGAGGAGGTGAGCTGTTTTTTTAGTTCTTCAATTAATATAAATGTACATTTAAACAGTCGCCTGGCTTTCTGGCCTCTGGATTGGACAGTGCAATCTGGAGACGCTGGGACACATGGGTGACATTAAGCTCCAACTGGACAGACACTGTGGTCCGTCAGGTGGTGAGTGCCCTGGGGGAAGCTGACTTAGTGATGTAGAGGGTGCTGTTCTGGGAGGCGTGGGAGGGAAGGCCCTCTGAGGAGGCAGCTGG